CCCACACCACCCCACACCCACACCCTCACCACACCCGCACCCACACCGCCCCACACCCACACCCTCACCACACCCACACTCACCCACACCCACCCACACCCACACCCTCACCACACCCACACCCACACCGCCCCACACCCACACCCTCACCACACCCACACTCACCCACACCCACCCATACCCACCCACACCCACACCCACCCATACCCACCCACACCCACACCCACACCCACACCCACCCACACCCACACCCACACCCCAAATGAGTTAATAACAATGTGGATGTGGATGCGTGGGAGTGGGTGCGGAATTCTTTTTTTCCTATAAACTCACATTAAAACCTACACTCACACCCACATCATAAAAAAGCACGAATAATGCACTACGCTTTCCTTTCTTACGTCCCTTTTTTCCCACTCTCTTATGACTCATTTTTTATTTTTCAAGATAGTTTGTTTTCATTTCTTTTATTTATTACCTTAAGCGTTCTATACGTGCGAGTCAAAACCTGTCATCATTTTATTAGTAACATACAGTGAAAGACTTAAGTAAATATCTCTACTCTTTTTTTTCCATCATGCGAGCACTCCCGAATATTACATCCGCGAGCATAATAAAGAAAAGAAAAAAAAACGTTTGACAAATATTGATGTTGTGTTGTTATTGCAGGTATGCTTTGGTTGCTTCAATGCGTAAAAAAATCACATCATAACAACACTTTTCATATATTTGAGTTGTAGATGATGTTGTCAGGAAAGGGCTTCAACGAAAACGACAAAAATGGTTCGCTTACTATTGCAAGAATGTCTTCGGCTAATCCAAAACGATCCACGCTGTCTCTTTATGTCTTACGTAATGCCAAGCACTCAGATACGTTTCTTATTCAAGCGTACTTCAAAACGGATAACATCAGATATACATTCGACAAGCATAGCACCCTTACTTCGAAGAAGGAACTTGGAGCTTATTTGTATCGGTTGCAATTGTCTTTGGTTGTCGATGATTACGGACAAATTCGGGTTGATCATGATAATCAGTTCATTCCTCTTGACAATTTTACATTGCGCATATCGAATTATGTCGGACTCAGCTGGCATTACTATGACTCAATACCTCGTCGTCTCATTCTTGATCTTCGAGAACCAGATCAGTTTCTATTCAATGCTTATTTTCAACACAAAAACGTTGCAGAAGCCCCTGGTAAGACAGTACCCTTTTTACAGCATTTAAGAGCTCAAAGAATCCTAAACAAAAATTGGTGTTTGCTTGACGATAACATGAATGCTTCAATCTATGAAGACTGTTTCTTTAAAGAGGTGAATACTTGAATATTTCTCAACCTTCTGGCAGGCTGTTTCGGTTACGAATGTCTTTTTTTCTGGCGTAGACTGGTCTGCTCTTTTCTTAGATCAGATCAGGAATAAACAGGTGTTCAATAGTCTGATCTGGAAGCACCTCCGAAAACAAGTTAGGTCAATTGCTTTTTCTCTTAATAACAAACGTGTAGTGTGACTCATTTTATGAACTTCGAAAATGCAAAAACGCTTGAGAGTTTTACATCAAAAATGTTAAAAAAAACTAGCGAGAGTCCGTTCATTCTGCACGAATGCTTTTTCCTGTAAAGCTTCACATCTGTCATTTAGCCTTGATTCGGTAATAGACAATCAGACAGTTCGCATTATACACAGAGATACCTCATAGCCTTATACTCTCGTAGTCTTACCTCCTAGTAGCCTTCTACTCTAGTAATGTCACTTCTTATAGCCTTATTCCGTTATATCCTACACAGTCTTATCTACTTATCCTCTGTACCTTTATCCCCTAATACTTTTTTAGTTTTATCTCTTATAGCCCTGTAGCCTTAGCCACTTATCCCCTTTACCCATATATCCTTATCGTCTTATTGTCTTACAGCTTTATCCCCTTACTCTCTTATAGCCTCGTATTCCTGTAAGCGTATCCCCTTATCCACTACCCCTTATAGCCTTATAGCCCTTGAGGACTATGGGTGTCCTCATATGAGAGCTCTTGTGGATTTATGGTACTCTCATATAATAGCCCTTGTGGACTAATGTGTACCCCTATACAATAGGACTTGAGCACCTAAGGGTACCTTCATATAATAGCCCTTGAGGACCTATGGGTATCCCAATATAGTAGCCCTTACAGCCTTCCCCATATAGCTTTATTTGAACTTTGACCTTTAACCCTTGAACTGGCACAGAGAAACACACACATACTGAACAATATATATATATATAGATTCATAGAAAGACGAGCTTAGCTTGATTAAAAGTATCTATTTATTGAAAAAATTTCATTTTTCTAATCCAAACTCGAAAAAAACATACGATATCTGTGAATTATTATAATTTTCGGATGTTCTTCCCGCAGAAAAGTACTTCGAGAAAAATTGCGGTTTTGGTCGGTTTTTTCAGCTGACAAAAGTGTGACCATTTATTCAGTTTTTGAATACTGGTGGAAACCGCTTATTTTTTCAAGCTATGTACAGCGCGAAATGTTCAAAAACAATGATAAACATATGTACTGTTCATTTCAAAATAAAGGACAGATGGGTATTTTTTGAATAACTTTTGATAGGAAAATGGTAGAGAACTGTAGTTTTCACCCTTACAACGAGCAGATGAAATGCATCGAGCCATATAAGACAATGACTTTTAACTTGGACTTTTGAAACTTTTTGCAATAGTTAAACACAGAAATGCCCTGGAAATAGGCATCATCTTCCCAGGAAAAACGAGAAAAAACCAAAAAACTGAGGTTTTTTTTACAGAAATTGCTGGCAAAGTGGACTAGAACTGTCGAATAAAATACCTAGAACGCCCAAACCAGCAAAGCTTTGAATCATAGCCTTATATATAGTTTTGTAGCTCGTCAGCTGGCGATTCTAGTCCACTCCTTGAAGTTTGAGATTTGTTCTATCTTCATAGAGCAGCAGTCTACTCTTTCAAGATGACCATGGATCACTACTTATTTACGAAATAAATCTCAATAATTTAATATGAATCGGTGCGCTGGATAGGGCTCTATTCAACGATGAAAACCGCAGCTCTCTACCATTTTTCTATCAAAAGTTATTCAAAAAAAATACCCATCCGCCTTTTATTTTGAAATGAGCAGTGCTTTAGCCGACCAAAATCATAATTTTCCACGTAGAGACCGCGGAGCGACCAACTTCAATCTCATAGAAAACACTATCTTCCGAGTCATTAATGGTGACGGAGCGGGACTATAATTTACTTCATCACGGTATTTGAGTGTGGGTCAGAGGTCGAAAACGAACCGAACCGAACCCGAACCAACTTT